GTTTCACTTCAATTATTACTTTTTTGATTTGATGACTTTCACGATGATTACGCCTGATAAATATTGATTGATATGCACTTATTGAATAAAATATATTACTAATTTATATATCAAATGCATATGCATATCTATATGGCTCTTATCATTGTAATCCCCATTTAGCCTTAAATCTCTATGAATATATGAATATCCTTGACAAGCGTATAGTAATTACAGAAAAATATATGTATATCGATTTAATAAATGTTTTAACTTTGGTATCTGCCGGCCTAATCTATATACATACGTATATATAATATACGTGCCTATAAAATAACGAATTTGTGAAATATTTCATAATTGTGATAAACACTTTGTCATTTTTCAAGTAAATTTCGGTCAGTCTATTTAAGAACTTTGAGCTTAAAATATTCGCATACGATTAGAAAGTTTATTAATAACATTAATATGTCCATAAGTATTGTTAATGTCTAGTTTCTGTGTCAGAGAACAGCCATAAATCATGTAGCAAATTAATTGAAAAAAACATTTAAATTTAAGAATCAAATAAAATATTTGACAAGTCATTTGCTGACTATGAGAGATAAGGACCATTTAATACCACCCGGCTGTCCAACAGGGCAAAGATCGCTCGCATAAATAATGCCCGGTCTTCAGACCCATCGGCCGATTTAGCATCCTTTAATTTTCGACGCGCACAGTGGGTCGCAAATGATTTGCATGGCACAAGCAATGCTCAATGCAATTTATCGCTAATTTGCGGACCGGAAGCGCAGATAAATCCTATGCATATGCCTGCCTATACACACATAAATAACTATACGATATGTGTACCAAACAACATTATATAAATATTCGACTTATCAAAAGCGCCCACACAGCAAAAAAATTATTAAATAACAAGCTGTCAGAAAATTCTTTCCCTCTGTTTATTTGCACTTGTATGTTAAGTACAGTAAAGTCTATAGCATGGGAGCAGGCTCATTAAAAAAATGAATTTTACAAAATTTTTTACAAATTATAAGTCAAATGTCTCGATGTCCTGAAGCTCGGAAGCTTTGATTTGACTGTGTACAATTTAGCCAGATTTTACTGTATACTGTACAGTAAACACAACTATTGCTTGGTCTGGCATCACGCCCACTTCTCGTATTTCATCTTGCAGTGAACTTAACGAGCATTGATTGCAATAGCAATCCCTTCTGTTGCTCATTTCTTTAAACATAGATATACTTATTAGCAATTGTTTGTGTGCAATTTGAGTGTATGGGTGCTTGAGTAAGTCTTATCAGCAGTTCGCTTCACACTTGACGCTTATCAATCCTATATATGTATATACATAGTTATGTATATATGTAAGTATATCACGCATACACCGGCTGCTGCTGTCCCCAGATTTGGCTATAAAAAGATTCATAGCCGGCGATTCAAACCTCAGTTCACGCCAACTGTTTGTACGCGTTGTGTCCTATTGGTCTAGCCGTTGATTAACCGTTAAGTTCAAATTACCAAATTTATTTCAAAGGTATGTTTATAAGTGAAAGAGAATTAATTTAAATCCTGCTTAAAATGCACATGGAGAAAGCTGTGATTTATTTTTTTCCACTAAAATTTGATATTGATAGTGAAATGAAAATAATTTATACAACAGGACATTTGTGATTGCTAGAAAAATAGAAATCGTAATAAAAAAAAATACTAGAAAAAAACAGCAGCGTCATTAGAACCCAATATGCAATTAATCAATTATCAAACTTGAATTTTTGTTTGATATTGCCTTTGATAAGAATCTGATTGATATTTCAAAAAGATGCCTAGGCAAAACTTTGCCTAATCGCTTTAAATTATAATCAATGAGTGCATTTTACAAGTGTTAATCAAGCCCCCTTTTTTTTAATAGATGACTTTCAATTTGCAAGCTTTTACAGTTCACTTATTAAGCATTACCCTTCAGCTGCTCGCTGCTAGTTGTTCTATAGTTTTTATTATTGTTCAATAGCCAATTAAAAAATCTTTGAAATGCCAACCACAAGTGATTAATAGAACACTTTTTGTTGTACAATAATTCACTAATAAGTCAACAAGTTATGCATCACTGTGATTGTCTGTTTGCGCTTTGTTTGTATTATCCTTGAGTCACCATCTTAAAATCGTTTCTTGCCGAAGCTCGATACCGTTTGCATATGCTGTCCTTCTCTAACACACACATACATTGCAAGATATTGTGCTCTAAATCGTTTCTCAGTGAAGCTCGATACCGTTGGCATATGCCGTCTCTGTCTGATATACACATCATCGTTAGAGATTGCTTGATCTTAGCTGCGAGTACCGTAAACGGATCGCGATTTTAGGCAGGCAAGTTCAATAGCAGCAACAACAACAACAGCAAGATGGATGGCAATTACGTGCTAAAAGCAACAGCAACATCAATAACAACAAACGCAGCTGACAAAGTTGAAAATCTCGGCCCGCGACCCGAGCAGGTGAAGGGCATGGCGTCACAACAGCAGCTGTGAAGAAATAAAAAAATCAACAAACTCAAACTGGAATTAATACTGACGCTTGTTGTTGTAGTTGTTACTGGCTGTTAGCGTATTGGCTAATAAAAACACTTGTGGCTGCCGGCAGCTGCTTCAGTGCACAGTTACAACTGCCAACATTAAGCAGCTCAATTTAAACATGCAGTCGAAATTAGCCCAATTAGTCATATTTATTTATTTAATCACACTGTGCATTCCAACGGTAATTTGAATGTTCTTAGCTGTTTCTTTAATTCTCATAATTTTTGTTTTCTGCATATGCATATATGTATATTTTTTCTTTTCTTCATAGATGTCGTACAAAGTGGAGCCACTACCCGATTCGTATGCCGGCCTAGGCGAGGGACCTCACTGGGATGTGGCCAGGCAGAGTCTGTATTTCGTGGACCTGGAGGCGGGCTGCCTGCTGCGCTACGACTACAGACAGAACAAGACGTACAGGACTCAGATTGAGGGCGAGACATTCGCCACCTTTGTGCTGCCCGTGGAGGGCAATGATCAGGAGTTTGCCGTCGGCTGTGGCCGCCGCGTCGTCATCGTCAACTGGGACGGTGTCTCGCCGGTGGCTAAGGTGGTGCGCACTCTGTTCGAGGTGCAGTCCGATTTCAAGGAGAATCGCCTGAACGACGCCAAGGCCGATCCGAAGGGTCGCCTCTTCTTCGGCACCATGCGCTACGTTGGGGATGAGTTCACGCACCGCCACGGCGAACTGTACCGCTGGGAGGCGGGCGGCAATGTGACGGTGGTGAAGAGCGACGTGGGTATTTCCAATGGCCTGGCTTGGGATGAGAAGGCCAATAAGTTCTACTACATTGATACCACCGACTACGAAGTCAAATCCTACGACTATGACTTTAAAACTGGCGTCGCCAGCAATCCCAAAGTTATCTACAATTTGCGCAAGGACAGCCCCAAGACTCACATCTTGCCCGATGGCATGACCATTGACACTGAGGGCAACCTCTATGTGGCCACATTCAATGGCTCCACCATCTACAAAGTCAATCCCAAGTACGTTAAGCCCGACTCTTCCGTTTATCCCAAATCAAACTAATCCGATTCCATTGCCGTTACAGCACTGGCGAATGCTTGCTGGAGATCAAACTGCCCACCAAGCAGATTACCTCGGTTGCCTTCGGTGGACCCAACCTGGACATTCTGTACGTGACCACTGCGGCCAAGTTCGATCAGCCCGCTCCGGCCGGCACCACTTTCAAGGTGACAGGACTCAATGCCAAGGGCTATCCAGGAGTTAACCTGAAGCTCTAAAATCCCATTCCAGATCTATAACTGTCTTTCATTTATTTTTTTTATTTTTTATTATTTCTGTGCATGGAACCCATGCAATTATTAATGAATTATACTATACATATATTATAATATCGAATGCAATAAAATATGCATGCATACAATAAATGTGTATGCATATGTGTGTGTTTGTTAGTTATATTATTGATAAAGAAATCCAAGTGTTTAACTGACAACTTCACAATCTGACATTGAAGGTTTAACCCAGCCGATTTATCAGTCCTTGATTTGGCATTGCTATGGGAAAACAATAAACAATTGTTTTACAACCTTGCTTCGGTCAGAGAAGAAACTGTCTGATGAAAGTTAATATAGTAGCTATCATTTGAGTAGCCACAAGTTTTATGGGCAATGCAAATTTATTTCACTAATATGTATAATTTTATCAAATTTTGTCCAACTAATAAAAATGTCTTTTGGCCTAAAAACAACACTTATTCTTATCATCTAATCATCATTAAAAATCTGCCAATTGTTATGCACTCCACTTTACTCATCATCCGACTCGGATTCAGTACAGCTTTCATCATCATCATCGCTGGCATTGGAGCGATTCAGACGCAACATCTCTTGGAATTCGTGCACTCGAATTTTTTCGGGAACTATTTGTAGAAGAAACTCGAGGTTTTTCCGTTTGTTGACCAGTTGCGATAAGTGCTCGTACTTAAGTGTGTCGTTGCTTTGCTTGGCACACGATGCCAAATATGCCTCACGGGCCAGATGCTGCACAAACAACTCGGTGCACTTGGTCATAAGAAAGAGCACTTCGTTGGTTATCAGACCCGTGTCCATGGAACTCTTCATGATAGTCCGTACTCGGCTAAGGGGAAGAAATGTGTCGGCACTTGGCTTGTGATTCAGCTGTGTATTATCTGCATCCACCATTATATATATATATAAATAAATAATTTACTAATTTTTTTTAACAGAAAACAACTTTTTGGCGCTAAATGTAGTAAACCCGGGTTTTTGTTTGTTGTAAGCAAAACTATCGACAGCAGCTGATATCGAGTTACAGTGATATCGATATGTTTATTTAACAGAATGTAAAACAACTCTATTCGTATATGCAACACTGCGATTTCTTTTCTGCCTCCTTTTTGGCTGTTGTTTCGTGTGTTGACCAATAAATTTTTTCGTACGCAGCATATTTTTATTGTTACTTCTCAATTACAAAACCATAAAATACGTATTTAACACGAATAAATCGCTTGCGCTGCTGGCAGAGCAAATTATTTTGGGCAACGCACGCAATAACATTTGGTACAACTACCGCAAAACACGTATCCGAAGAAACAAGACCGATAAAAAACACAGGCAACGGCAACTCCGACCGACACCGAAACGTGAATGTGAAAGCGAAGCGAATCCGCGGCAAGGAAGTGCAACACAACCGCAACCCACAAAATTACAACAAAGCAAAGCACTGGGCAGTGGATCAAAACAGATGTTTGTTACAAACAACTAGAATTAGGCGCACTTTCCACGCTAAGTATATTCGAAATTCGCTCGCCTGTTGTGTAAACAATTGCAAGCAGCGGCTACAATAAGGCTTGTCCCTTAGCAAAACAACAACAGCAACAAAACATTGAAAGCATACATCTACATCTTGCTTTTAATTACACGACTCCGATCCATATAGTACTCAAATATATATAAACACATACACACGCATACAAAAAAAAAGTATATATATATAATCACATATATATATACATCTATCGCCTGTTGTCAATATCATATCGGAAGTTGTTCGAGTTGCAGCGACAGCGACAATTAAAAATGGCCGCTGCCACCGCCGACGTTGGAAATGCAGTGAACGATTGCTTCAGTATCGGTTCCACAGTGATCTGTACGACTTGTTTCAAGGAGGAGGTCGAGGGGGAGGTTCTCGCGTTTGATCATAACACAAAAATGCTTATATTGCGTATCCTTTTTCAAAACAAATGCAAATAACAACTGTCACTTGTCAGATCAAAAGTGAAAGTTTTTCTTGTTTTTGTTTTTTTTTTTAATTTGTTTATTATCTTTAATATATATGTTATATATAATATATATATATATTTATATGAACATATAGTTGTAATTAGCGAAAAATTTAATTGGTCACCTTACATCGTCACACAAAATCTGCGCCCTTTCTCTTCTTTTGCCCTATCAGAATGTCACTCAAAAACTTCAGGTGAACTGAGTGATGTTTATGTGATGAACTTATCGTTGTGCAGTAACGTGCAGGTGATCAAGGAATGCAATGGAAACTTCGTTGATGATCCTCAAAAGCTCAACCTGGATCAGGTATGCATTCAACCAATACATATAAGCCGAATTTGTATTTATGAATTTCTCAACTCACTTTTCCTGTAGGTTAAAATGCGCCTTCGTAAAACAGTAGAAAGACGTCAAGACTATCTCAAGTCCAAAAATGCGGATGTTACACCAGAAGCACAAGAGCTCTATCGAGCGATAGCCAAACAACTTGGGGTGAGTCTGATATATATGTTAACATATTTATATATCTTAAATAGCCCATCAACTGTCTTAAATTTATACAATTCCATCTTTAATATATTCTTTTGACAGTACAATGAAGTTTCCTGGCAAGGAGCAAACATACAAGTTTTGAATGAAGTTACCGTTTCGCCGCCATATAGGGTGGACAATGTTGTATCCAGCTCGGACAACGACAAGTCGTGCACATATATTAAACGAATTGTAAGAAAAACGAAATCTATAAGTTTGACACATCTAAAAGCTTTATCACTAATTGCAGATAAATCAGTTCTTCACCACGAGACCTTCGGCGGCTCAGGAAAATGCGCATGGTGCCAGCTCTTCGTCGGCATCGGTTTCGCCTACTTCCTCATCCTTATCATCAAGTAACGCAGCTTCAGGATCACCGGTTCCCGCTAACTAAAAATAAAAAAGAAAAAACATATTTGCTTCAGAAATGAATTCAAATGGCATTGTAATTGGTTGGGGTTGCTGCATAACGCTGACTACAAATTAGAACTAAGGTCTGTTTTTTTTTTTTATTTGAATAAAAAAACATTTAAATTTAGTAAAAAGGAATGTTCGATGACAACCAACCGATATTTAAACTATTGTTCGCAGCTGGCTGCCCAACAATTTACACGTTTTTCTGACGTAACAAATTGCATAAATTTTCTAAAATCTACAAAAAGAAAATTGCTAAATAAAGATATTTAAAATTCAAGATAAAAAACTTTCGTTAAAATTATCCCTTAAGGTGGGGAAAATATACAAACATCGCTATCCAATAATCGATAACTTTTTTGTGTGAATGACAAATTTTATCGCCCGCCTCATTGTCGTTCAATGCGAATAGCAAGTAGTTCGTTTACGTTTATGTTTCGTATAAATAAAAACACATAAGCATGGAAGATGTACAAAAGCACAGCGTGCATACGCTTATATTTAGATCACTTAAACGCACACACGATTTGTTTGTCTCGAATCAGGGTAACTTGCCGGATATCGATGAGCGTTTGTAAGTACAAATGGCCATGAAATTGGCGCACAGCCATCAATAATATTTTGGTAAATTTTTGTGTGCAGCGAGAAGATGACTCGTTCGATTAAGGCAAGGGATACTTATGGCTTGGTGATTGACCGCGCCATCAAATCGATGGACGATAAAAAATTGTCCGCCATGCAAAACGGCAGCAGCGACAAGCCACTGGCCATTACAGACGGCAGCACCGGTCAGGCTGCAGCCGGCACGGATTTGGGAGGAACCGGCGCAGCCGCCGGTAGCATGGTTAGGTCTAATCGCGACAAGGACAAACCGATGGTGATTGGGAACACTTCATTGGTGCGTGCGTCAATGCCCACAAGCAGCGGCAGTGGAGCTAGCAATGTGCAGCTAATACCAAAGAAAGCGCCTAGCATTCCCAAGCCCAAGTGGCACGCGCCATGGAAACTATCGCGTGTCATCTCTGGCCACTTGGGCTGGGTGCGCTGCATAGCCGTAGAACCGGGCAACGAGTGGTTTGCCACTGGCGCCGGTGATCGTGTCATCAAGATCTGGGACTTGGCCAGCGGCAAACTGAAGCTGTCGCTGACTGGCCATGTGAGCACGGTGCGCGGCGTTGCCGTCAGTGCAAAGCATCCATATCTGTTCAGTTGCGGCGAGGATCGTCAGGTCAAGTGCTGGGATCTGGAGTACAACAAGGTTATCAGACACTACCACGGCCATCTGTCCGCTGTCTATTCGCTGGCACTGCATCCCACCATTGATGTGCTCGCCACTTCTGGGCGCGACTCTACGGCACGCATCTGGGATATGCGCACCAAGGCGAATGTCCACACACTGACGGGCCACACGAACACGGTAGCCAGCGTGGTGGCCCAGGCTACCAATCCCCAGATCATAACCGGCTCACACGATTCCACCGTCCGTCTGTGGGATCTGGCAGCCGGCAAGAGCGTCTGCACGCTGACCAACCACAAGAAGTCCGTGCGCAGCATTGTCCTGCATCCGTCGCTCTACATGTTCGCCTCCGCCTCACCGGACAACATCAAGCAGTGGCGCTGTCCCGAGGGCAACTTTGTGCAGAACATATCCGGACACACGGCCATTGTCAATTGCATGGCGGCCAATTCGGAGGGCGTGCTCGTCTCTGGCGGCGACAACGGCACCATGTTCTTCTGGGACTGGCGTACCGGCTACAATTTCCAGCGCTTCCAGGCGCCCGTCCAGCCCGGCTCCATGGACAGCGAGGCGGGCATTTTTGCCCTCTGCTTCGATCAGTCGGGCACACGTCTCATCACTGCCGAGGCGGACAAGACCATCAAGGTGTACAAGCAGGATGACGAAGCCAGCGAGGAGACACATCCGATCAACTGGCGACCCGAGCTGCTCAAGCGTCGTAAATTCTAAGAGATTTCTAGTTTTTAAGCAACAAAAAAAAAAGAAAATAAATATTGTGCGGCTCACGTACAAATACTATGAAACGAATCAAAGTCAAAATTTTGTCCAAATTTCAATTTACTTAGAGTTCAGGTTCAGGTTCACACGTCCATTGTAACGCCCATGGGCGCATTGCAAAGTTGTAAGAAACCAGAGCAATGTGCTTGGAATACCTTCTAGTCGTTCAGTTCCCAACGGTCTCTTAATTCTGGGTTTTTAAGCATCCCCCTTTATAGTTAGAGTAAATTAGTTTGGCTCATAGGGGCCAATTCCCTCGTAACTCAGCGGATAACAAAGACATTGTCTTAAATTGTTGGTATTTTATTTGATTTTTTTTCTCGTTTCTCTTCAACTCTTTTTTACACATAAATAATGTTAATTATCTCTGCATAAATAATAATAGCGTATATCTTCATTCATATATATATATGGGATTCTTTATATATATATTTTTTGTTTTCCATATGATGTTAAAATATTTCCTGTTTCTTTAAATTTCATTTCATTTCATTTTTTTTTTTTTTTTTGTTTTAATATTTTTGCTAACGTTAACAAAGTAAAAGCACTAACTGTTAATTTAAAGTGTTTCTTTATTTTGTATTACCGTAGTTTATGATTAATATATTATAGATAGTCACATCATTATCATTATATTTATCATTTCATGTATTAAAATCACAAATAATTGTTGTTTGAAACAAATCTGGTTTTTTTCCTTTTTCTTTTTGTTTATTTTTTTTTTTTAATATTTTTTTTATAAACATTTTTTTTTTCTTCTTTCATTAACTTTCGATCTGTGTTCGTTAAATGGTAAATAATAGTTTTTAAATGTATCATTAATTACACATATATATATACCTAAATATATATATATATAACTTTCATAACCCCTCACGACACAATAACACACTCTTCTCTGTCTCTCGCTCTCTCTCACTTTCTGCCTCTTCCTCTCTCTTTCTACATGATGTCAAAACAGCAAAAAGTCCCTGCTTTAACTGTCCAACTGTCGGCAAGGGACATTAATTACATACACATATATATATTGTATGTGTGCGTTTGTGTGTGCATGTGTGTGAGGGTATCACTATCTGTCTGTGTCTGTGTCCGTGGATGTGTGTGTGTGTGTTCCCGACTTTCGGGTATAACTGCAACGCTTATTTACAGTAATGCCAAAAATCTGTTCAGGATCTTGGCGCTAATTTTTCATTATATATATAAGTATGTTTTTAAAATAGCTTTAAAAATAGTATTCATAAAAAAAAACAAAAAAAAAAAATTATTTTTAAAGCATTCACGCATATATACCAAATGAGTATACATGAATTGAAATTCCATTTGATTCATGCATAAACAAAAGCTACAATGTATATATGTGTGTGCGTATATCATGTGTGACTGTGTGTGTAGATGTGTGTGTGCGTGTGTGTATGAGTGTAGAACATTGACATTGGAACATGTTCGACTATGAATACTCCATTGACTCCTGGCTTCATGACAGTTGCTGGAGGATTAGACTAGGGCGGAACTGACTGACTGCAAAGATAGTATATATATATGTATATATATATATATGAGAATGTATATATAAATATATGTATGTAACAGGCAAAGGCTACATGTGAAACAAATCCAATTATGTTAACGGAATCAACTACTACGAATGCAACTATCGTAACGCCTGCATGGGCATACATATATATCTATAGATATATATCTATCATCATTATAATGGACTCCTTGGGCTAATGCTGTGGAAGCAATCGTTGTTGTTGTTGTTGTTGTTGCTGATGTTGATGTTTCTATAGTTGTTTAAGAGTTATGGAAGCATACTCTAGCCATAAGAGAATCTTATTTGTTTGCTCTTGGCTTGGATATATGACACTAAATCAGGCAGGCACACACACACACAACTATATATAAGCACAGACTCGCCACACACGAACATACGCTGATTTTGTTGTTGTAGTTAATCATAATTATTATTATTGTAGGTTGTTTTTTTTTTGTTGTTGTTGTAGTTTCGTTTCTGTATATTGTATCGCTCTTTGTTATTGTTGTTGCTGGTGCTGTTAATTTAGTTGTAGATTTTGATTGCCTTCTCGGAGAAATTGAGCGAGCTGCGCTTGCGCGATTTGTTGATGTGATCCAGTCCGAAGAACGGCAACTGCCCGCCAGTCCAGGTGCGATAGACCTCCAGATCAACGGGGGTATTATCGTTCACATCGATGGTATGGCCCATTGTGATAACGGCGAACTTGTAGTTCTCCCACTCCTTGTCCGGTACATTGAGTCGCTTCTGGATGCGCTGCTTGAGTGCACCATATGGCTCGCCATGGCGGGCCTTGGTTAGGAACGGCACACCGAACGAATTGTACAGCTCCTTGCTGAAATGTGCCACCGGTATGAGCAGCTCATTCTCGGCCAGCTGTGCCTCATCGGCCGGCACCTCCTCGATGCGATAGACCTTCTGAGTGCCCTGTGTGGTGGTTATCGACTCATTGGTCTTCATCAGCGTCTCCAGCGGTATGTCGTCCTTGCAGATGGCCACAATCTTATGATTGCCGACCTTCATCAGGCGCAGCTTCTTGCGACTATTCTCAGCGAATGTGATCGTCTTGGCCGCCTCGTCGAGCAGACCCTTCACGGTATCATTCTTATTCGGATACAGCACCAGCTCCTTCTCCTCCTTCAGGTCATTGGAGACCCAAATGCACTTGAACAACTTTTTGTTATCCAGCTCGTGTATGCTCAGGGACAGTCTCTGATAGAAAATGCGCTTCGGCGTGCTCTGCTTCGTGTACGACAGCAGATCCTTGATGGTACCCTGTGAATATAGAACACAATTCGGGTTTTAGAAAAGTAAATTGTGAAATTCGTAAAGTGAAAAAAACTATTTAATTCGATGTCAACTCGACTCGACGAAGCAAATCAAACTAAATGAGCATTGGAGAACATGAGAGATAAGACTAGGACAATCTGATCTCAACTGAATGCACAATGTGCACGCGGAGGTGTTTGGTTCGCCTCTATTTACTCTGTTCTCAAATCTCTTTGATCTCAAAACGTACCTTGTAGGTGTAGGGCACCGCATTGCCGGCGGTCTCCTTGTAGTTGCTGATGCACATGAAGAACTGCAGCTTCTGGGGATCGGTGTTGAGGCGTTCGGCGACGGCATTGGTCAGTTGATCGTAATTGTAGCGATTCGACAGTTCGAGCGTAAAGTCCGGCTCATTTGGGTTGCATTTGTCGCTGAATATGATCTCGATGCGATAGACCAGATCCAAGAAGTAATCCTCAACGGTGGGCAAATCTAGCTTAACATCCACATTCTCCCGTTCGAATATCAATATGGGACCCTGCAGATGATCCTGCGGCATATAGAGCACATTCTCGATGGGCTCGTTTATATTGGCGATCTTCTTATCGGCATACTCATCGAACACGGTCAGCTCGGTGTCCAGATCGAAGCCGAGCTTCCGATTGATCTCCGGCACCAGGTCGCTGAGACGGCGTGTTAACGGCTGCTGAGTGCAGCCGATGTAATTGAGGCGCTTGTTTCGCGCATCGTAATACTTGAGGAATAGAAGCACATCCGTTTTGGGATTGAACGGCATCAGCGGCTCGCTGCTGTCGGGCGGTGCCAGCTCAAGGAATATGACCCACGGCTTCTGCGATGTGGGTATCTGTTCGATGGTGCGTGTCGCCTCCGCCTCGAAATCAAAGTACAGGAACTTTTGTGTCTGGGCCGTGCACATGTTCCACATGCGCATGCGATTGCGCGGCACGCCGAATGCCTTCACCAGCATCTCGACCATCTCGTTAACGGTTTGGTTTTGCTTTAGCTTGAATGGACGCTGGTGCGTCTTCTCCAGATCGAACAGGCGACGCTTCTGCTGAGACTCAAAGTACTCCTCGAGTATGACGTGAATGGGCACATAGAGATTGGCCTCGCTGCGCTCCTTGCGTCGCGCCATCTCGATGCGTTTCTCCAAATCGAGTCGTTCCACCAGATCGCTAGAGATCTCACTCTCGGGTATATCGCCCAGCACACGATCCAGTTCCGAGTGCCGTATATAGACAAGCATGTATGCATTACTGCACTTGGCATGAAACGAGATCTCATCATCCATGCCGCCATAGTTCTGATCGATGGCCTCCTGCTTGCGGCAACTGGAGACGACATCGTCATCAAACTTAAACCAACGTCCGTCGGCCTTCGGATTGATGAAGACCACATAATGCCCGCCATGATTGTCGCCGGAATGGACGAGGACAGCGTGCAGCACATAATCGGCCGGCGTCTTCTCATGCTCGGCCAGATAGCGATCCAAATTGATCTGTTCATAGAACTCGAAACGATCGTTATATTTGATCGAGCTATCGGTAATTGGATCATATTGGAAACGCATCAAATGCAAATGCAGCACAGGCGGGAATGATGTGAATATGACGCCCTTGCTCGCCTCCTGCACAACAAATGGAAAGACAAATAAATACATATTTATTATTATATGGCCCTCTAGGTTTATGCTACGATAACTGTCTCGGCCTCACAGCACGATTCGCATTTCAAATGTGTTTAGGCTGTTTATTGGAAAGTTGAGAATTTTCTGTCTCAATTTGATATCCACAATTATTGGATTCTAAGTGCAACAAGAGTTAGCGCTTGTGGATGCTAAGTTTTTGGTGTGTTTCTATGCAATTTTTTGTGGAACGTGAGCAATTTTGGATGATATAAGATATATATATATAATCAATAGAGATTATAATTGCATTTAGCATTTACGATAAGCAGGAATTGAAAATTTTGGTATCCACATGGCATTTACAAAGCATGCAATCCACATGCTGTGGATGGCAAGAGTTTGACTTATGTTTCCACCTAACCTACAAACATTTACAAACTGAATACGCTAAATAGAGGCGAATGTCATCGTAGCTCCATTCAATTAAGGGACAAATCATCACTCACCTGGAGACCATGGACACCAGCATCGTATTTGTTATCGCCTTCGAGTGTCTCGGAGGCGACATAGTCCTGAAATGATTCGAAGATGTTCTTCTTGTCTTTGATATTTAGCTGAATATCGTAGAAGGTCTCGTAGCGTGTGCTGTTATAATCGACATTTGTGCATTTAATGTACGATGACATTTTGCCCTCGAATAGGCCGGGAATGGTGCCCTCCAGGCAGGTGCCCTTCATTTTCGATTCGAGCTTGTCGAGAAGTACGCGCAGAAACTCCTGGACATCGTGCTGCATGAACGAGTCGAGAGTTTCCCAGCCAAAGGATTTAGTTAGCTTCTTGGTGCCGACCGGACGATCGCCGAACTGCAACTCGTGGAAGACGCGCTGCAGCGACAAGCCCACCGACTTGGTGCTATCATCGGCCTCAGTTGGGATGCGATAGACGGCCAAGCGTAGTGAATTTGTGAAATATAGCGTCTGGAGCAACGAGTTCATATAGCAAGTGGCGCCCTGATTCTTCAGGCCCACATAGCCGGTGTGCTTCTTGGAGTCCCAAAGTACACCGTGCGGTGCATCGGCAATGACGTGCACCTCGAGCGTAATGCTGCCATTGTGGACATAGCATTTATCTGGATCCTGCAACTCCTGCCAGGTGATGAAATTCGAATAGCCATAGTCATTCTCCTTCGAGTAGAACAAATGCTTGATGCGAGCGCGCGTAAACGGCGGCGCATCCGGCTTGTGGCACTTCAGACGCAGCTCGGCAATTGCATTGCACGACCAGGTCGGCGAATCGTTCTCTCCGTTGCACTGCAAAAAGAAGCCGAGCGCACGATCATTCGGTATGACCATGATCTTCCATGGCAGCATGCGCACATAAACGGGCGGCGATAGATGCTGCTGCTTAAGCTGTCCAACATTCTCCACGGTATAGGAAAACGTTGTCTCCGAGCGGAATTGATCCTCCTTGGTTTCGTCATCCATTGGCATCTCTTGTTCGTTGCCAAATGATGTGGAGCTGCTCTCGGCTAACAATTGCTGTGGCGGCACGTTGCCGTTCTCACTGGGTAGCTGCGGCTGCTGCTGCTGTTGTTGCTGTTGCTGCTGCTGCTGCGGATGAATTAGATTTTTAAACTTTGGCAATTGTGGCGGCGAGTTGGTTTGTTGCTGCTGCTGTTGTTGTTGCTGCTGCTGTAGGTCGCTTGTGATTATCTCGACCTCTTGGGTATCCTGGGTATCCATTGCTTCGATAGACTGATCTGTTTCAATGTCCATCTTATTCGGCACTTGAATTTTGCTGTCCGTCGGCTACTGCAAACGCCGCCGCTGCTGTTGCTGCTGCTGCTGTTGCCGCCGTTCTCGCAGATTTATTCTGTTTCGAGTACCTTTCAGTTACTAATTATTATTGTTAGCTGAATTAGTTTTTATCTTCGAAAGCTTCGTGTTCTTTTCAATTAATTCTTCCGGCACTTATAGTTTATTTGTCTTCTGAGTTATCGTGTTGACATTCGATTTCGATTTCGATTACGTTACGCTAAATATTGGTTGCAGCAGCCGCTTGAGCTATCTGAAAATTCAATGGAAAATGGGTAACAGGAGAAGGAGAAACATCGATAAATAAACATACTGACACACACGCACGCACATATGTATGCACACACTGAACATGCCCACACATGTCAATTCATGTAAATTTATATATGTATATGCATGCCTGCATATGTGTGCAGAGGTGTCACAAGCTTGCAAATTTTTGTTGAATATTGCCGTTTTACCATTTTGCCATTACACATATACATGCATATGCGCATACTTATGCGTATTTTCTATTTCTTCTTCTTGCAGCTATGCTTCTTTTATACAATTAAATATGTACATACATACGTACATGAACGAACGTGTAGAATTTGTTCACGCCAAAATGAAGTGCGCCGCATCGCTTTTGTCCCAACACACACAGACTTAAAAACACACGCAAATAAGCAGGCAGGCAGGCAAGCAACCACACACATACATTCGCACGCACGCACGCATCAAAACCCACCGCTGTACACATTTACCCTCGCTCATGCTTGTCGTCGAATGAACGGCGAACGGGTGCACAGGCGGTCAGGCAACGGGCAGGCTAAAATTCAACTACGCTTCCACACACAAATGCATTGCACATATTTTATTTCATATTTTTCGTACTCACTTGCCGTTAAAGATGACAGAATGTATATGGCGGATATTTTGGTTTTGGCCGCAGGCTGTTAGATGGCAGGCAGCTGTAGGCTCGAGCCCAAACGCAAGCGCCAACCGTCAAGAAAAAACTGCAAATTTTCTTCGTAGTTTTCTTTCCAACCTCCACTTCAATTTATGGCGTTCTGTTCATCGGCAGTATGTTTTGCACGCACGACGCTCTTTTTTTTCTTCTTTTGGTTGCAAAAAAAGTCGAAAACATAAATTTAGTCAAAACTGTTTAATTTATACGAACAAGACTTGTGACGTATTTTGCTCGGCACTGCATTTGCGCTTCCGATTCATTAAAGGAGGTGCAAATTTTTAACTTTTATCTCGCAAGCAAATGTTAATGCTCTACTCGAATGGGCACTGCAAACTCAAAAGGAAAATATTTTGACGCTGCTATGCCAAAATGAGCTGCCAGCTGCAAGCATATCGAATATCGACCATCAGCGATAGTTCTATGTTGATTGCCACAAGTCGATAATTTTGCATTATCCTCTGTGCTTTTCAAAGGCGATTAATAAATTGAATATATATATTCAAATGCACTGCATGACATTCATAATTTAAAAATAAAACATGTTTTAAACTGACTACATATAGTTAATGAATTTCAAGTAAATTGAGTTTTTCAAAATTACTATGTGAATATTCCAAGGGACAATGCTTAAAATAAATTTGAAAATAATCTCAGCAAAAAGCGATTGGAATATGCCTATTAAATAAATTGGCATTATCCGCATTTCAGAAGCGCTAAATAAATTAAATATACATACATGTATAAAATATATTCCAATATCGACATGAAATTCATAATATAGAAACTAGAAATTTTGAGCCACCTGCACCTATTATTTGAATTGAATATTCCAATTGGAATATTCATATCGAATTCGAATTTGCTAATAAGAGCTGCTGTGGAATATAGAAATGGTTTTATATGCTGAAGTTAAATGCGATAGTTAGTATTATAAAATAAATATTTTTTATAATTTATAAAAATCAACTTAAGAATCAATCGGTCATCATTCACTTGAGGTACATTTGCTAATAGAATCCAAAATTTACACGTTTATATACACTATACATATACAAAAAAAAAAAGTAATAATAATTTGGCCATGCTCTACTCCTGCTGCTTCTGCAGCTGTTGTTTTTGTTGTTGTTGTCGTCCATGCAGCCGGTCACAGCGCAAACAGCCACCAGTCGATTTCAGCTTCCAGCAGTTGGTATGAACGCAGGCGCCGCACTGCCCACAACGATGCACCTTCCGCTGCCAAGGATAGATCAGCTCGCGACTCTTGCACAGCTCGCAGACGAACGCGCGACCCGTGCAGAGCTGCAAGCGTGTGAGATAGAGTGAGAGGGGGTGAACGTTAAACAGCTGCACAAGCAAAAGAGAGATACGAATTCCAGTTTACCACACAGCTGTAGACATGTTGCTCGTTCAGTTCAATCAGATCCTCGATGGAGCGGCACAAACTGCTGTTTTGCACATCGACAAAGTCACACATGGACCACATGTCCGGATCGTTGGTGATGTGCGCCGGTACCGCATCGAACAGCGCCTGCTCCCTGCATGTGCGAATACCGATTAGAAAGAGATGGAAGTATGTGTGACCTTGACACACTTACTTGGTGGCAAAGCGGCAGGTGCTAATGAAGTTATGGACATATTTCAGCTGGAGCCGACGCCGTCGCGCCTTGGCCAACTGCTTCTGCTTCACATACAGCTGGGCATTCAGATCGGGCACATGGAACAGCGGGAACGTGTACATCTGTTCGATGAGGCGATAGGCGAACGAGCTGACCGCATAGCAGCGAAAGTCCCACGACTGCAGTATCTTGGCCGGGATGGCCGACAGCTGGTTGCGATGGCAGCCGGTGCACAGGTACTTGCCCAGGTAATTGCAGTAGCGGAAATATTGCTGATATTGCCGCGTCACCTGCATGCCGCAGCCGGCGCAGCGGTAATGCTGCCGGCTGAGCAGCTGCGAGCGACTTGCCGGCGGATGCTCGGTGAAGATGATTTGTTGGCGTGGCGGCGCCCAGGTCTTGGTGCCGCGCGTCAGACTCGTCTCGCCCAGCGTTTCCAGCTGCTGCTGCTGCAGTTCTGGCGTTAGCTTCGGCAGGGGCAGCAGCTGCTGCGGCGCATCCTGCTCCGAGACGAGCCACTTCAAGTCCGCCAGCTTGGGCAGCTGTTTGTCATTGAAGCGCGAGATTAGCTGTAGACCGACTGCCTCGGCGCTATTGTTGTCATGGTTGCTGATGCTGTGTCTGTTGATGCTCTCCTCCTGCCCATGACCATTTGTGGTCTGCTGCTCCATAAAGGGCAGCAGCAGGGCATCCCCTTCTGTGGCCAGGCCACTGCTGCTGCTGCTGCTGCCGGCACACTCCGGCGGCTGTCCCCGGCGACTCCACTTCACGTGCTCGATGGCCGCAATGCACGCCTCCGAGATGCGAAAGTGGGCGTTCTCCTTCTCCAGCTCCGTGTTGTTGCGCGCATTGCGCGACATTTGCAGGAAGGCGGCCAGACTCTGATTGTCCATTTTATTGCTGTTGCTGTACTGGCTCTCGCTGCTCAGGCTGCAGGAGGTGGTGCTGCAGCTGGCGCTGTGCTGTTGCTGCTGCTGCTGACCCACCACACCGCCCACTATGTCCAAGGGCTCCGTCGCTGTCCTGCTCGTCGCCGCCTGACAATTGTTGTAGTCCAGCATGCTGACGCCCTCGAAGAGCGACTGCTGCTGCCGTTTGTCCAGCTTGCGTCCGTTGATGGCCAGGAAGCCATTCAAGCCAGTCAAGCCGTTTAAGCCACTCCCGCTGCCCGCCTCGTCGCTCTCACCGCGACTCTTATTGTACCAGCTGGTGTACACCGGCGGCGATCCGAACAGATTACCCAGAAAGCTGCCCCGCTTCGTGGCGGGCACTGGAGCGGGTGATGATTGGCTGTGGCCAGTGGCGGGAGTGACGCTGCTCGTCTGATCTGTCCAGATCTTGATGTCATCGCAGTTGATCAGCTGTATGCGGCGCGGCACTGGCGATGCCACTTGGCTGCTGCTGGCCGTGCTGAGGCTGCAGCCGCTCAGTGCCACATTCGGGCTGTTGTTGTAGGTCTGACAACGCGGACGTGCGGCAGGAGCTGCCGGCGAGAGTCCACTCTCTGCATTCGACACTCGATCCAAACTGCTGTCGCTGTGATAGAGGCAGGGCAAACTCTTGAAGCGTCGCATCAGTTGCGTAGCTACCGGATTTGGATGCAGCACTTGTTGCTGTTGCAGCGATTTCTGCTGCTGCTCCTGCTGTTGCACTTGCAGTTGATGCTGCTCCTCCTCCTGCACCACGTGCAGTCGGTGCGAAAAACTGAAATTGGGCTGCGAGCTGGTGCGCCGATGGCGACGTCTGCCCACAAGCGGCTCCAGCTGGCTGAGCAAGCTGCTCTGGTCCAGCTCAACGGCCGTCAGACAGGCGAACAGCGCCGCCGCACATGCGCCATCCCGCAGAAAGGCCACCTCCCGCTGATAGTAGCTGTCCAGCAGCTCTTTGTCCGCCACCAGCATCTGCACGCAGCGCGACAAGCAGCGCGAGCGCAGACAGCTGGCGGCCCAATGGGTTAGGAACTCGCTGACATTAAATGCCACATTCCCTGTGGGTCCTGGTGCAGGTGAGGAATTAGCTGAAGTTGTTGCCTTTGCCGGCTGCTGCTGCTGCTGCTGCTGTGGCGGATGCTCGCTGAGACGTAGAAATTCAAAGTCTTCAACTAGGCGCTGCAATGGAGAAACAAGGGAAATCGATCAACGAGGGTGGATTAAGAAATGGACGATTTATATATAAATAAAATATATAGGTATAAGAAACGTGGTCATCCTGAATCCTTGGGAAATGAGAATTGCGGTTAAATTACATTTTTTCCGATTGCTCACTCCATCACCTTCATTATCGATTATTATCGATAACATGGCACAAAAGCTGGAGGTTTTTAATTGATTTTGATGAATGCAAAGATTTCGGAATATTTCAGACTTTGTTTGTCATCATCTCATTAATTCATTAAAAATGACAATAAAATGCACTCCAATTAAAAGTTATTCAACAATTGACTGTTCCAGGCTGGATATCGCCAAGTCGAGCACTCCCGATTGAAAAACGCTTCTTTGTCACTCTATACGATTTCTTTTGTTCGATTTTCGTCGTGCGTCACTTTAAGTTTGATCATTGCTAAACTAGCCATTAAAGCACCCTCTCTAAAAACTCGAAACTTGAACCATGCTGATGAACATGTTTTTCCATTTATATACATACACCTATAGCATAATTGTTTACAGATGTTATCAATCAACAGAACTCAGTTAATTTGAGCAGTTACACATGTAAATATGTTCAACGGTTGTTCTCGGTATTCGGTTTCATACATTTAGCCCTCCCTTTTATCGTAGTTTCGTTAATCTAAAATAAACAACGCAATTACGGATTTCTTTGCTCATATAAAGAACATAATAACATTAAAGGCAACTCTATTTGTTGAGTAATAACTGAATACTATATCATACAATAACAACTAATTGTTCTTTAATATAATATAATCTTTTTAAAAAATATGTTTTTTTCTCTAGTAGTAAATAAATTTGTTTTTAAATTATTAAATATTTCCATATACATATGTTTGTAGCTTTAACATTTGTTATTGCTTCTACTATTGAACTAGGGTATTTTCGCTGCGACTCCCACTTTCCCTTTTATTCCTCTTCTTCTCATTTAAGCCTAGGGCGTTGCGAATGAAGCGCTTATCAGAAGACGAGCTCAGTCTGCGTCTCATCGCACTTACCAGCGTTCCGATAGCCGTTGGCTGCCGCAAGCCGTGCTGCAGGATTTGAACGCATGTCTGCACCAGCAACTGGAAGCGTTCATCGGTCTTGGCCTGAAACCAATGATTGGTGGCGCGACGCAGTTCCGTCTGGAGTGTGAAAAGTTGCAGTTGTTGTTGTTTAAGCTCGCGCTGTTGATTATGACTGCGCCTGTGCGTGTCACAGCTCCAAACGGGCGGCACAGCCGATGATTGTACTGGCGTTGCTCTGGACATTTCTCTTATTGTTCTTACGGCTGCAGCTGGTCAACGAAGTTCGTTCACTCATATTTGTGCAAATGTTTGTCACTGCATTGCGATCTTGCACTTTTATGCACTGGCTGTGCCAGTAATCGGTATCGCATATCGAACAATATCGAAAAACAGCTGTTGGCAATGTGGCCAGATAGCAGCAGGTGGCAGCCCTAGAGATGGGATTTTATTTAAAGCTTGCTGCTTCCATTGCTATGCGGGAATTTTTAAATACTGATTTTTGCAGATATCATTCACTATTATCTGTTATAATACGAATTTGAATTCGATGGGGATTTATTCAAACATTGCAGCTTCCATTGCTATGCTGATATTTGCAGGTAAATTTTACTATTATCTGTTATAATACAAATTTAATTTGTTAAAAATGCGTTTATTCAAATATATGCACAATCATTTGATATTTAGATGTATACGCGAAAAAATTGTTCATATAAATACTAGGATCTATTGGGTTTTCTTGTCGTCCTTGCCTGCTCTGGTCTCCTCCTTGAAGTGCAGGAAGACGAAGGAGAACACAAATACGCCAATCATCATAGAGAAGGCGCTGGTGTAGTAGGGGAATGCGCTCGGTATGAATCGCTCGTATTGCGTGTGCTCCAATGGACGCACCGACACCTGGGTGGTGTTGTACAAGTGAGTGTAGCCCACCCGATTGTAGTCTACCTTAAACTGATAAACACCATAGACGTCCGGTATTTTGAAGCGGGCCTCGTAGCTGCCGCTCTTCGTCTGCTTGAGGAAGGTGCGCACAAACGGATCGATGCGTACGAACTCCAGCTGAATATCGTTGGCTTTGAATGGCTGCCACTTGCCCTGGACCAGCTCCTCGATGGCAATTGTATAGACAACGGGATCGGTGATGGTGTACGCTTGCTCTGGTGGATTTTTCTCGCCCACCTTGTGGTGACGCACGGAGGCGACGCGCAGCCGGCCACTTTCCCCAAACACCCACTTGCTGATGGACTCGGCGACGGCACGGTTGCCCGCCTGCTTGAAGAAAGCGCCGTTCTGCGCATACTGCACGGCCATGGTGAAGGACTCGTCGGCGAAGAACTGCAGCGAGCCAGAGAAAACGACGCGTGCATTGTTGCGTGCCTGCAGGGCAGCAATCAACAAAGTGTTGCGGCCCACAGCATGGGGATAGTCGGAGACGCTCTGCTCAGGATTGTAGCTGTAGGCGCTGCTCTCGGCCGTCAGGAGTTTCAGCACCAGCGGATTCTCCTTGTCGGCAATGAGACCGGTGCCGCGATATAGTAGTGGAGCAGCATCCGCCTTGCGATTCTCGCTGCCCACAACACTGGCTGCATCGATCAGATTCAGAGCTGAGGTCAGGATCGTCGTGTGGTCGCCCGTATCGCTCACATCGTAGTGCAGATGATCGATGACCGCCGCCTTCTCCTCGTCCAGCTCGAATCCGCACTCGGAGGCGAACTCGCGGAGGGCATCGCCAGACTTTTCGCTGCCTGCAACCAAAACGTTGCCTCCGTCGTCCACAAACTGAGCGAGTCGCTCGACGCTGATGTCGCCGCCGAATTCCTCCACACTGGGCGCAAAGATGATCAGATTCTTGTATAGGTACTCGCCATATCGCGATAACAGTAAGCCAGAGTCATCAGCTAGCTTATAGGTCAGCTTAAAGCCACGATCTGAGAAAAAAAAGACAAATAAATGTTGTACACGTCATAGCTTGTGTATACATGTGTGAATGTGTATGTGTGTTTTTATGCCGGTTACCTTGCAGTGATTTAAAGAAAATAGAATGCGTTTCGCGTATGGCTAAATTGTCTAGCAGAACCAGCGTATTGGCATCGGTCTCCAGCACAGCATTGCAGTGATTTATTGCTAAAATGGCCACTAATAGAAGTTTCCACATTCTGAAAAAGCCGACTCGAGTCTCAATTTTCACTGCTGATGGACAATTAAACTAAAATCATCGATATATCGATACGCCTATATTCTTTCTCTTCAGCGTTGTGTGTTAATAGTAATCGATATTGCGGCGGTCAACGATGGAGCGATGATTAAATTGGTAAATATTTTAAGAAACAATATAATTTTAAATTGTTTTTTAGTTAAGAAAATTGCCTACATAATGACTATCATTGTTGTTGCAAAGAAACACAAATGCTAAGGAAAGCTTAAAAATAATCAATGGACAAACATAATTTTCAAAAACATTCAATGTCTATTGAAACAACTGCAATCTAATGTCCTTTCTTGTAGGAAAAATGATTAGCAAATAGTAATAAAAACCATTGTTCTCTGGTTAGTGTAAAAACGTATACTCCATTAATTTTAATTGTTTAGTTTACGAGTTCAAAGAATGGTCGCATATTAAAAGTGTGGCAACGCCGTGAATTGTTCATTAGAATCAAAAGCTCCAGTGATGGATGAGCTTATGGTTTTTCGCTTTCGTAGTATATCTAATTGGAAAGCGCTTATTCGCAAATTCGAACTAAGTTTCAGTTGCAAAAAGCTGGCGTCGCGCGCGGACGCTGAGGTACGCCGCTCTTTTTGTTTACAGTTATAGCATTGATAGCGCCGATGCGTGCGCGAGCGAGAATTATTTTTTATTTTTTTGCTGTTTTTTTATCGAGTGTTATTGAAAAAAATATATGCATTGCTAATAATCGTGAAAATTGTGGGAGCAGCATCAGCTAATTTATTTTCATATAGGGATAAAATCATGCAGAGCTTTAAGAGCGCACGGCTTTTGGCCAGCAGCATGAACACCAACAACAGTAACAACATCATCATTCGCCTATAAACAAACGTGTGTGCAAATCCATAAAACGCAACAAGAACAAGAAGTACAAGAATGAAAACAAGTGCAAATTGGGCCGCTGCGGCAATCGAAAGCAAATAGATAGAAAAGAGAACGAACGAAAGGAAAATACAGTCAGTATCAAGCAATTAAAATTCTTGTTTACACTAAATTCTGCAGATGCTTAAACCGCTTGACTACTAACGATGTATTGTTGCTCTCTGATGCTGCTGCGGCTGCTACTTCTGCTGCTGTTGTGGCTGCCTCTGCTTCGGCTTCTGTTTCAGCTTCTGCGGTTGTTGGTGGTGGTATTTGTTGGTGATGGTGGTGGTGGCTGTGGCGTCGGCGGCGGCGGCATCTCTCTATATGTATGTATGTACATACATAGATACCAAAATAGTCAAATTAAATTGGAAATAGCGTAACAAGCGGCTGTCAACAATAATTGAAAGTCAAATACTCGCGGCCTCTGTCTGCCTCCGCTTTCAGGTTGCCCTCAAAAAAATAAAAAAGAAGAAAAAGTGCAGTGGCTGCTAAATGAATGGTAATTAATGCATAAGCAGCACTCTACCGTTATATGTAGCTATAACCTATGTGCGAGAGCAGGATAGAAAGCTTGCAGTATGCGAAGCAGCAGCGAAAACAAAAGTGCAAGTGCCAATTGCTTTTGTTTTAGTTTTTTGTTTCTTTATTTTTTGTAACGGTGTTAGTAGAGCGCGATTGAAATTTATCGATCGACCAAAAACAAAAATGTCAAAAACAACAACAACAACATCAGCGGAAAGACCAACAACAACAGCAGCCGTTGCCGCTGCCGCAGCCGCATCAGCGCGTAGAACGTAAGAGAATGCAAGTGGAGGGAGGCTGCTTTACCGGTCATCGACGCTGACGCTAACGCAGACGTTGACGACGACGCGACGCCAGCACCGGCATATAGCAGGACAAGGCCGTCAGTTGGCTGGCAGCTTTGCGGTCGGCGTGAAAGTTCATTTCGTGCGTGCAGTCCACAGCGGCAGCAGCAGCAGCAGCAGCAGCAGCTGAAACAGCGGCAGCGCAAAAGTGAAATCTTACCAACACTACGCTCTTTATCTATGTATATGTCTGCGTGTGTGTGTTTGTTGTTAAACTGTAACACGAATTAATAATAAATATACATGCCGCAGCAGCAGCAACAACAACCGCTACATTTACATTTTTTTTTTTATTATTTTTGTTTCTTGTGCAGTGGAGTGCTACCAGAGTAGCTAAGCAATTAGACAAATAAAATTAGTGAAGACACAAAAAAAGCAGCAAAGCAAAAAAAAAAATAAAAAATAAAAATAATAATAACAAGAAAAAGACAAAAGTGAAAGACGAATATCAAGCAACGGAACCTTGTAGTTTTTGTCAATCACATACAACAAGAAGACGAAGCAGAACAAGAAGAAGAAGAAGCGTAACCACAACATTGACACGCTGTACCGCAGCGGCGGCAGCCAGCGGGGCGCTGGCAACGAATTGCGGTATGAATTAACTCTTATATTGAATTCTTACACAAACTTATGTGGATGTGTGTGTGTGACTGCATGTACAATATGCGTATGTATTGTATGTAAGTACAGTGAAAGCTTCCTTGGAATAGATCGGTAGAAGATCTTATATTGAAGCTGCCTTGGTTTACGACACGAAGAGATCTTATATTGAAGTCTTATACAGTTGTGATGACAGCATGGGCACAATAAAAATTTCTCGCGGGATTCTTTTCAAAAATATGAAATGATTTTATTGGAAGATCAAATGAACTTGAACGAAAAATTGTTTATATACATACATATGTATATTATCTAAGGAAAATATATGTATGTATTTATCTCATATTTTTATGTTTACATGCGTTCTTTATTATTTTTTCAATATCTTTATAGCGAGCATCTACTTTAGCCAAAAAGCACTCATGAACTCATTTGCTCTATACATACATACATACATATATAATACCAACGGTTCTGGCAACATTTACTGTTTAGTTTGTAGTTTTGCCAAAATGGCAGACAATGCATAATAAACAAGCGAGAGATGAAAACCGAAATTGAGTCCATGCTGACTTGAGTGAAGCAACAACTCGCATTAGCCAGCCAGCCGCAAGATTAGCATACTATTATATACATATGTACATACATATGTATGTATGTATGCAAATCACGTCCTATGCAAAGGATGCATTAAAATGCATTAGATTTACAATTGAAAAGAATGTTAGAGACGCTTAATAGCTATGCATGAAGCTGAAATAAAATGAAGCTTAAAATAAATTTCATGAATTGAATTTTTGCATAACAAGAAAATGTGTAAAACGAATTGCATGAATTCCAGATTTCAGCATAAAATTATAATGGGCTACTGGGAGAAGAGTATATATAAATTGTCAACTGCAACTGCAACTGCAACGGTGACCTTCAAACTGTTAGTTTCAAACTCGAATTTTGTTGTCAACAGTTTGTGACAATTTTGGGGAATTCTACACAAAATACTTTTGCCATACATACATACTAGGTACAAACCTACATACTTGCATGTGTACATATGTATGTGTGCATTAGCGAGAGGAATTGTAGTTGAAATGCAATCCAGTTGACCCACAAATAAGTGTGGAAATTGTTAAAAGAATTAGCGTTGATCTAAATAGCGACACTGAAATTAACAAGCGAAGGTGGTAATTAAACCGTCGAAGGAATATGTATGTACATATATGTATACATACATAAATACATACATATGTACACATGTATGTATCTAAGTACATAAAGTAAAGCATATAACATACGCCAAAATGTGCTAAAAATAGATAAATGGCTGACGCGGCAGCTGCCAATTGATTGTGGGAGCGGGCGAGCGGGCGGCTGGTTATGCTCTGCTTTGCTCTGCGCTTTTGTATGAACGAGGGTCGCTTCAAACGTATGGCAAAAATAACGGAGTATTCGAAGTGCGACGACTAACAACGGCCACGCGATTTGGGGGTTAGTTATTTTTGGGGACGACAATGAGGACGATGCTTCTATACAAACACGCACACACATCAACAGAGAGAGAGTTACGCACGCCAACAGTCTGACAACCCCAACTTTTGCTAAAACTTCGAAGGATTTCTTTTCTGTTTTTTTTTTTTTTTTTTTTTTTTTACCGGCGGGGATGCTGATGCTCGGTTTTTTGTCCTCCTCTCGACTCGACCGTCGTCATGCTTTTGCCTTTACTTTACCATCTATTGGTAAACTCTCTCTATACACACACACACACACACACACACACACAGAGACTCAGCACAGACACATGCACATGTACAGTATACACATGTATTTCTATGCAAATGTCAAAGCTGCCAAGCGTCGACAACGACAAAGTCGTCGTCACTTCTCTCGCCCCTGCGGCGACTGTGTGGCGAGTGTAGCGGATTTTGTTTGTGCAGGCTTTGCTGTTGCTGTTGCTGTTGTTGTTGTTTTCACTTAAAATATCCTTTGAAATTTCAAAGTAAAATGGGTATGTCGTATGGATATGCATATGACAGAGAGCATTAGCTTGCATCTTGATGGTATTCAAATTTCTCAAAAGTCAACTTTTATACACACAAAGAAGAAGAAGAAGAAGAAGAAGAGGATAACCCCAAACATGCCATCAATATATGTGCATATGTATGTACATATATTTTTCATAAATTCGTTAAAGTAGTTGAATGTTGTGTCCAGGGTAGCTTCCAGTTGAGTGTTCTCATTTTATGTTTACCTATTGCTGTTACCATTTTTTTGGGGTCTGGCATTCTACGCGTTTTCTAGGTGAACAGCATGGGGATGCGCTAGCGTTGCGTTTGTAAGTGGAGTACTTTGTGAACGGACGACGCGTCGCGTCGGTGGTGCCATCAACTTTGTAAACTCACCACCAATGGCCCGCTGCTCTCTCTCTCTCTTTCTCTGTCGGTCATTCACTAATCCCGTTACTTGCTGTCTTCAGAATGCCGCGTTTCTTGCTTTAGTGTTGTGTTATGCTATTTCATGTCTGTGTTGTTATTATTCTTATTGTTGTTGCTGTTGCTGTTGTTTTTTTGCAAATTGTTTGGCCAAACAATTGCAAATTGTGCAGCACTTGAAATTTGGAGCATGCAGCCTCTGCGGGCACAAGAAATACAAATTGCGCCACTCAACACGTCAACGCTGGCGTCTCTATTGCTATCTTTCTACAAGTATGTAAACAAACAGACATACAGACAAAGATATACATATGTATGTAGTTGTATGTATGTACGTATGCATTAATGTATAAATGTATGTACTCACTCTTCTATGTATTTTTATGTATCTTCGTTAAACAGACAAGAAACCAGCAGCAAGAGGTTAGTCGCATGTAGTCGACTTACAGCTACCCTGTAGGGAGCAAACTATTCTTATATACTCAGCAATTTGGCCATTTCATATTTACTATTGTAGATTACTTTAAAATAATTTCGTACTCTAGACTACACAGTATTGCAAAATTAAATAAACAATTCTGAGATATGCGATCGCAACATTATCATTAAGTTCACAAAGTTCCGAAAGCGAACCCTCGCTAACATGAAAATTATGAAAGTTCAACAATTATTTATGTACATACGCCTTCTGTTTACGAGCTGTGCATGTCGTGTGAGTATGTGTGTGTGTGTGAGTGTGTGTGCGTAGCCGCTTATTAATCTGCATTAAAGGGTAATGCCACGTACATAAGCCGCAAACAATCAAGGCATAAGTCTTCAGCTTCGGCTCTAAGAGCTTTGCATTTCTTTTGTTTTTGTTTGCAAACGCATAATGAGAATAAGAAACGTTGGAATTTTTTCTTCTTTCTGCTCCCGCTTCCATCCCACATTTGTCATGTACAATATTTATTACACTACAAATTTTTACCATTTATTATATATATATTTTTTCTTTCTTAACTCTTTTAGCGACTTGAGTGAAGCAAAATAGAAAATACATACATATGTACATACATATGTATATTCTTTTTATTTCGGTTTATTTATGAGTTTTTTGATTGCAATAAAAAAAATTAAAATACATGCATATAGCAAATTTATATTAACAAGGCATAAATAATATGTTGGTTTATTATAACTGACATACATATATGTGCATATGTATGTATATTATTTGTAGACATTTTATATTTTTATATAAAGTACATATATGTACATATGTACATACATACATATATGAACTTTGTATTTAATATAAATAGAGCTCCGTAGAAAAGTAAAGTAGATAGAAATAAAATAATTAATTTTATAATTTGTTGTTGTTTGTCTTTCATTTGCGCCTGGAGATCCTGTAGTGCAGTGTATTAGAGTTGCTGTTGTGGTGTGCCGTTATGCTTCGCTGGGCTTTGTTTTGCCATTCTTCTTCCCTTTGTTTTTGGCACTCACGCAAACACACACACGCACACGCATGCACACATACAGAAACAAGGACACGGAAGCGTCTTAGTGTTGTTATTGTTTTGTGGGATTTCACTTCAGAATTATATTCACGCATACACACACACAATCACACAAGCACACACGCACACACATTAGTCGCATTCCTTGCATGATTCCACATTCCGTTATATAGAGCGAATACCAAAATGCGATAAAAGCAGTCAAGAAATTAAAATTGTTAGCCAAAGCTGTTACACACACACACGCCCACGTCCACGCACATACACATGGACACATTAATGCCTAGCCTGCGGCCGGGAATAGCCAAGGCGTCAGGATAAACTTTCACACATTTATAAATACATACATTAACAGACACACACGCACAGGCATATAGGATAGACGCAAATACATACATACGTGCATATATACCTAGATACATGCACATGTATGCATATAAAAACATATATACATATATATATGTATGTACATACATATGTATATCGTGCTCCAACTTGAAATCAGTGAAAAATGTCAAATGAGCAACATTCGTTGACCCAAAAAGAAATCAAATTGCATTCATAAACAAAAAGCAATGGGCGAGAAGCGGCAACAAAAGAGAGCAGGAGAGAGGAGTAGAGAGAGAGAGAGAGAGAGAGAGAGAGAGAGAGCGAGTCAAAGGGAGAGCGACTTATATGCAGAGCATTTAGCAGCTCTGTTCGTAGTGCAAATTCATCAAACAGTTATGTTCCGAGGTCAGTTCGATTAGTTAGAAAAGGCTTGCAGTATAATAATATAAATATACATTATTATTATTATTATTAAGTTTTTATTCTTATTTTATATTTTAATATTCACATTTAAGTTCTTGCAAAAATTCTGCATATCGAAATCAATTTTTATAGCATTTGAATTTCGTCTTGAATTTTTCATGGCCTGGCTTTGTGCGTGGGTTAGCCCTCGTCTGTAGTTTTTGCTTCTTTTTCGTGTTGCTCCTTTTCTGCTGCTTCTTCTTGTTCAACTTAACTTTTGTGAAAACGTATTTAGCCTTGGCATATGCAATACTTTATTTTATAGTATCATTGCCTTCATCATTGGCGTCATGAAAAAACAAAAACAAAAAAGTAAAATAAATAAAATAAAAAACTACAACAACAACGACGAGTTGTCACCAAGACATGACCATAAAGTTGTCCTTTTTGTTGTTGTTGTTGGCGTAACTTTTGCACTCGGTCTCGGTGGCAAAGCTTCATTGTCTCTGGCTGGCATCTATGTATGTGCGTGCGTGTGTGTGTGCGTGTGTGTGTGTGTGTGTGTGTGTGTTGCCTGTATCTGGCTTTCACTGCGTGGCCTTTTAGCTGGTTTCCGCTCGACGCGTTGCTCTGATGTGGTGATGCCATTGTTTTTATGACGCCACTTTCAACCACACACACACACACACACACGCTCTCGAACACACTCACACACACACACACACCCACCCACACACTTATAAATTAAGTGCATGTGTGTGAGTGTGTGGACATTACATTAAGACGAAGCTCAGCTCAGCTCAGCCCAGCCCAGCCCGGCTCAGCTCTGTAACGTCCGCTTTTGTTTGACTTGATTAAGTCAACAAAATGTCGATTTGTTGCCTTAGCAGCTGTCAATCCATATTGAAACAATCTAATCGGAATGCTTTTATAAGCTCGAACAGCATTTTCCATCTAGGTCATGGTCAGAACTTAAAGTTCAAATAGTTGTGCAAAATATCAAATGTTGCGATCTAGTCCAGCTACATGAATTGATTGAATAGAGCCAATTATGATGATATGCCATAGAATATTGAAGATCTGACAAGGAGGACTTTGTATTGATCAGAATTTAGATTAATCACAGCCTAGGGAGGATGAGCTATCAGATGGGACAGAAAGAATGTGAATGTTGCAATGAAAAGGAGTGAGGCAGAGCGGGGGAGAGGAAGAGAAAATGTGAGATGGACAAAATAGAGACAGAAAGGGTAAGAGAGTAAGACGAAGAGTGACGTATATGAATAGGAGAGACAAGAAGACAAACGAAATGTCGAATAGGTGAATTAATAGAGAGACATACGGACGGAGTGACAGAGAGAGACAGAGAGAGAGAGAGAGAGAGAGAGAGAGAGAGAGAGAGAGAGA